CGCTGGCCCGGAGCTGGTGCGACGATCCCGGTGGGAAGCTGAAGGCCGCAAAGCGCAGAAGCCACGGAGTGACCAAGAAATTCTGGAGAGATGCCTTCTACTTCTTAAGACAGAACGGCGGAACTTTTTACATCTCTACTCTGACGGTGGAAACCCAAAAACAATTCTGAATCGTGGAATTTTTCCATTCTGCGGAGCCGCATTTTCCAGTGTGAGCCAAGGACCAGAGCTGCCAGACCGATACTCCCAGCTCATGCTCACATCTGCCGAGGAGGAGGTTGCCTCGAACTCAACTCAACAAAAACAAAGCCCTCTGTCGAATGCCTGGAGACATCCTTGCAGCCGACAGACGCCAGCACAGGTCGTCAACTCGGCATACCTGGCGGAAGGCTATATATGATCATTCCAAATGCTGTAAGATGATGCAAGAGTAGTACTTTTTGTCGAGAGTATGTGATTACGAAGCTCTTGAGTCGTAGGGGGGCCTGAGGGGTTCAGAGATGTTCAACGGGTCACCGCAGGAGGACTACAGCTGTCGGTGTTCAGTTCGCCACCTTCCCTCTAGCATCGGCTGAAACTTGCTTCTCTTCAAGTGCCTCAAGTGTTATATCCAATCTGTTTCGAGAAGCCTGCGCCTCAAGTTCCCCTGCCCGTGCCTGACTTTCATGAACACATGCTCTCTTGAACTCTCCTAGCTCATCCATTCGAGACCTGAAACACAGTGATCAGGGCTTTTCACTCATCTTCCTGCATCGTCGTCTCGGCTTTGCATGCCTCGCCTGGTTTGTCCGAGTGTGAGTGATTAAGCCTGCAGGGTGGGGAAGGCATTTCGGGGGTTTAAAGAAATGCATGGATACCTTCAAGACACTGGGTTGAGAGGCACTCCTGACATCATGCTCACTCCTGACATCATGCTCACACAAGGGAGCAGGGATGCAGCCGGAGGGCGTCGCTTTCCCTCACAACAATCATAGGGCTCTAGCAGATACGGAGCACAAGTAGCAACTGCGAGCACACTGCTACATCCCGGGGATCACAACCCGAGGGGAGCGCCGTATTGAAAAGTCCATCTTCGTGAGTCTCTGGTGAGGGCACAACAAGACTGGAAGAAACATGTCAACGATGGGTGGAATGGGCGGGCACACGAGGAGATGAGGCAAAGGGTAGGCGAGAGAAATGGATGATGGATGCTGCAGATTGGACTGGGGAAGGAGCGCATGCCCCTCCCACTCACCGTCATCCCAGTTCGTATGGACCAG